ATATATATATATATATATATATTTATTTATTTTTTATTCAGTTGAACTTATTCGTAGACAACGCGTACTTTGCACAATGTCGAAGGCACCATGCTGCTGGGCATCGAACGAGCTGAGCAGGGATAAGGAGAACTATATACGCTGTTCAACCAGACAGAATCCGCAAAGCAATGATAACAAGGATAAGAAAGGCAAACCGGACAAGAATATGTGCTGCGGCCCAGCGTTTCGCTTGCAAATGGCCAAGGAGGCCGAGAAGGACGCCAACGTTGACATCGACGCCATGTGCGGGCCGAGTGGCAAAGGCAAGAAGAAGGTCAAGCCCGACAAGGACAAGTTCCGGTGTTTCGTGGCCAACATGATCTGCATGAAGCTCTATATGCCCGGCCGCGACTTTGAGGAGCGAGACCAACTGCAAATGAACGTGGTCATATGCAAGGGCTGCACTCCGGTCTTGTGCTCGAATCGCATCGGTGTCAACTGTATGCCGTCCGAGCCGAGCGCTCGATTCTCAATACAGCCAGAGTGTCTGGACAAGGCGCTAACGGATGGTGTCAATCTCTCTGTTAAGTACATGAATAAGGAAATCGGTAAGCGACGGAATCTAAGTTCGATTTTTGTTGACTTGTGCAACTCTTTCACTATTTGTTGCCCAGGACGCGGCTGCTTTGCCCCGCCAGACAGTGTCATACTGCGGATGATCAACACAACTGAAGAGGTTGTCTATACCACAGAAGTAGAGCTGACATGTAAGGGCTGTACCGTGGGCATGTGCACAGTACGCCTCTCGATGACCATGAAGTGTCAAAGCATCGAAGAGTAAGTAAGCTCCACGGCTGCTGGCTGGAGCCTGGAAGCCAACAAAAAAGCCGATGGCGCCTGAAATTCAATAGAGTAATGGACACGGACATGGACCTTTGCAGCGATGACGAAACCGACGATGACGGCGACGACGACGACGACGACTGCACTGGCGTTTCAATGGGGGAGGATACAACAGATAGCTCTGCAGAAACCTCTTCCGATCCATGCCAGGGCTTCGTTAGCATTGATGATCAGTCGGACGATACAAACGACTTTTGTGAAACATCCAATAACAATAGTAGAACTTGTGGCGGTGACGAGGTGAGTAGCTACACTCGTTCCAGGTCAAACACTGATCGTTTCGGTTTCGGGTGGTTCTAGTTGCGGTCGCGTAAACTGATCGACGTGGCTGGGCCCTACAATGTCTACAGCGCCGACAAATCCGACGATGGCTGCTTGAAGATTGAGGCATCGCCCGGACCCGGCCATCAATTCTCATTCGCTTCGCGATCCTATTTGGGGGAAGGCAATGTGAATCGCATGTGCTCGCAAGCCTCGGCGCCAAAGCTGAAGCAGATGGGCGTGAAGCCGGAACGCTCGTGCCTCATGTGCCACGCGGATGTGTCCTGGCTGCCCCAGATAGCGGCATGCCCGCACTGCGGCTACAAGCCGCTGCCCATATTCACGGAGAAGGAGTATGATGAGTCGGCCACGGCCAAGGACATCATCGTTGACTTCTTTCAGCAGAAGAGCAGCGAATCGAAGATCTCCAACACCAACACCTGCCGCGATTTTGGCTCTGAATCCAAAACCGAGGAAGCATTCGAATCGATTGTGAGCGATTACAAATCACTTAAGCAGAGCATTAAGAAATGCAAAAGTATACAGCCATGCAACAAGACTTCATCAAAGAAGTTGCCTACAGACTTGGTTAGTATTTTCGCGGAAATGCAGAAACTTTTCGAAGTTGGCGAAGATGACTCGGATAAGAAGCTGAAGATCAAGCAAATCTGCGATGAGGCCTGCAAGCTGGCCAAAGCATCGAAGAAACACCGAAAATACTCGAATAAAATTGCAGATCCTTGTGCCGAGCCCAAGAAGACGAAGAGACGCAAGGCGCAACCCAAGTTTAATGTAAAGTCCAAGGTCTATGCGCCTATGGATAAGCTGGCCCATCCCCGACTGGGCCACACCAATTGTTTCGATGATGGACGCATGGTGCCCGGCCACATGGGCTGGCTCTGGACGGACAATCCATTGGCGAAGCTGCCCGGCTGGCGACCCGGCGCCATACGCCGGTCCATACGCGAGCTGATGGGCTACTTTCTCAAGGATTATCCCGTTGACAGTGTACCCATATCGAAATATATGTCGTATCACAAACAGAAGCCAAAGCCAAGCCACGAGATGGAGGAAAAGCCAGAGGATTTGGTGCAATTGCCGACTCTGCACATCGAGAAGAAGAACGACGAGTATCTCATCACACTGCGGCCGCTCAAGGATCCAGACACGCTGAAGCGGGCCGCCAATCCCTATGCGAATATGAAGCCTGTGCAATTTCGCATCGTGAAGAATCCGCTGCTGAAGAAGGTGCGGGAACTGAAGCGATGCCTCAAGAACATGGGCTTCAGCAAGTGCAAGTGCCACAGGCCCGTGATGCAGTGCTACTGCCGCAGCTTCATCGACAAGAAGCAGCTGGTGGATGAGTTGCAGCGGCAGTGCGCGAAGCGTGAGCTGCACAACTGCGAGAACGAGCTGGTGCTCTCAGATACCACGGACAGCGAAGCCGAATTCGATTTTGGTGTAACGCCGCCAGCGGGTCTAATGCATCCGGAGCGGCTGAAGGTCAGCCACAGGACCAACGCAGAGACGCAGTACAATGAGAACGACTGGGCCCTGCCCACCATGTATCCGCATCCGCCCAACGCCTACGTGCAGTACGGCGGCTGCGTTATAGGCGAGCGCAAAGACAGATTCCCTTGGATCTTTGGCAAGGGCTTCGTGCATCAGGAGCCAAAGCCGCCCAGAATGCGCAATCCGCCCAAGAAGACAGAAAAGAAGCCAGCACCCGGGTCAACAAAGCCCCGCCAGAAGGGAGGCTACAATAGCGAATCTCAGGCAGCGACTACTTTGGAGAAAGATCGCAAGGATAGTCAATTATACGATGCGCGCCATCAGCGGCTCAACCGAGCTGCCTATCCGCCGACTGCCAAACAGTTCCAAAAGGTCACATCGAAAGTTTCCCTAAGCTCCAAGAAAGTACGATTTTCAGCTAGTAAAACCGAGAGGTTCAGTACGTAGTCGTATCGAAATTTTTATTTGATCCATTTTTTTTAAGTTTTAGCCAAATCTTCAGATAATAATTAGTTTCGCTTTATACAAAATAAAAACCGCACAAATTTTAAACCAAAAAATCGAATGTTGTTTGAATACAATTAGAAAGGGGTAGAGTCAGTGCCAGTTATCTTTTGATGGCTTATATAAATACTCGGTTCTAAGAGAAATCTTTAATTGACGATAATCCCATAGTAGTAGATGAGAATCGCACAGAAGAGCTGAAAATTTACAAAGATACCTTAACTAATGAAAATCGCTCATATTTCTCGAGAGTAAAGTAGAGCGGAGAATACCTGGTAGTGACTATACCTTAGAATGGCTCTACCTCAGGCACTACCGCATATAGACTTAGATGCACTCACATACATATGCACATTTTAAACTACAATTGGGGTCATATTCATGTTGACCTTGGCCACAGCCCAAATCGGGCTATGTAAATAAACCGTTCTTGTGACTTTGATGTTACACAATTGTCATTGGTTGCATAAAATGTGGATTAATCGGAAAAGTGTTGTTTATCTAACCTTTGAGGCGCGCATGATATAACAGTAAACAGTGCACACACAAATTGCAAGCACCCACACACTCACACACACATACACAAACATTCAAGTACTGCATACCAATACCAGTGCTACCGTTCGTTACGCTCTGTTGATGCCACCAATTGCTGCTACCGTTTTGACTGGCAGTTCCATGTTTGTCTAACCTTATGCCATGAGCAGAGCAAACGCATTCGCGTTCGCCAGGTCTTTGACAACGAATTTGCATGTCATCTCAGCCAGCTGATCCCGCATAATCTCAGCCTCTACCCAACTTTACCCCACTCGAATCGCTTCACTTTGCCGTCCCCAAAGTATTCCACTTAATTTGTTCGCTTTAGTTTTAATGAATTTGTCGCATAGTATCTTGATGACAGAGCCAAGAGCCATGAAATTCATGTGGCACTTACATGGCATTACATGCCACACACAGACTGCCGAGAGAGTCGCTACAAAGAGCTAACTGACGGCTGTGCCTGCGCTCAGTGGCACTTGAGACTCGGAGCGAGCAGCACGCGCAGAGCCGTTCAGAATGCATCAACATTGGGCCTTAAGTCTGGGCCTGTTGGGCGTCGTCTTTCAGCTGCTGGGCCATGAGGCCACGCCCAACGGCTACGGCGACCATTACTACAACAATGCGAGTGTCCGGCAGCTGCGCTTCCACGACTTCGAGCCGCGCGAGGAGAGTGTGGCCAGAGACGAGGGCGAGAGGCGTCAGGCACGCGGCTTTCACTTCAATGCCAGCGGCGAGGATGTCAGCGTCGAAATGGAGTTCATAATTCCCATGGTCAAGGTGCCCGTGAAGCGCAGCATGCAGCTGGCCCGCGATGCCGTCCAGGGTCTGCTCAATCTGCGCACCACAGCGCTGCTCAACACGGCGCTCATTGTGGCCGCCGGCGCGATTGTAGCCGCAGTTGTACGCCTGGTGCTGGCGCCCCTGGTCCTTACCTCCATCAGCAGTGCAAATGGCTACGGCTATGGCTATGGGTACAGTGCCAAGCAACAGGAGAGCAGACGTGGCAGTGAGTAGCCCCATAGCTAATGAGTGTTCATTGTTGAGTTCTCTCTCTCCCTTCACTCGCCCTCTCCCTTTCAGTGCGTAGTCTGACGCAGCTGCTGGAGTCACAGCTGGACGAGCACAGCATCGATGTCTCCGTCTGTGCACAACGCGCCATTTGCCACTACTTGCAGCAGAACGCGGCACAGCTGCAGCAGCCGAGTCCAAGCTGGCCAACAGCCGCCAGGCTCATCGATGTTCTCGCCCAGTGAGTATTTACTGTACTTGCAAGGCTTCCCTTTAGCTAATCCCCTGCTGCCCACAGCTCCCGCTGGCTGGACACCTATCTGAATGGCACAGCCGTCTACAGCGCCATTGATGTGGCACGCAGCAGCCGCAGCTGTAGCCACGCCTACCGCAGCTGCAGCTGGCCCCAGCTCTCGGGCAGCTTCCTGCTGAGATCTTGGCCAACTATGTTGCAGTACTTCAATGGATATCGATCTGCTTAGTTCTTTAGTTGTTAATTATTTATATA